TTTGGCTGCCATTACCTTCTGCTGCCCTTAAAGGCCACTTCCTCACAGACATCTTCTACTATTTAATTCCTAGTGAGCTCTTCTTCTTCGCCCTGAAACCTCAGCTGAGGAACTAATGACTCCGTGTACCGGCTGCTTCCCTGGAAGACCATGAGCTTCCAGAGGATGGGGATCCTGCTGGGTTTGCTCAGCACTTGGCAGATGCACCACCTTCCGTGGTGGACGTGGCGCTTTCCAAGTATTTAGTGAGGAAGGTGGAGAAGGACTCCCGCTAACAGTGTATTTGTTGAATGTTACTTCCCCACGAGAAATGCAAGGACAGGGAAAAACTATTTTCCTTATGCTGATGGTCTTAAAAACCAATGAAATAACCAGCAATCAGCTTGGACTGAAGGAAGCAAAATGGAAACCTAATTCGTATCCTTTCTATTCTCCATCCCACTTAAGGAATCCAGTTTAACTCTGTGCTCACCGAATAACCCTGCTCTGGTCACTCAGGTTGCGGCCACAAAACTCCACGTTTCTGTCCACTCCCATGGGACAGCCAGCCTCAGCTTTTAGAGCCAAACCTTTAGAGATATATGATAAAAGCTTTGGTGTTGGAAACTGCACTCAACTGCTAAAGGGCTAACGAGCTTGTTTAAAAAGAAGTGACAAATAGCAATGTGTCATGTGCACCAATAAAATGCCCAACACTGCATGGATACTCTTTTTTTTTTTTTTAGATTTTATTTATTTGAAAGAGAGAGAGCGAGCATGAGAGCAGGGAGGGGCAGAGGGAGAAGCAGACTCCCCACCGGGCAGGAAGCCCGACGCGGGGCTCGATCCCGGGACTCCGGGATCATGACCTAAGTCGAAGGCAGTCGCTTAACCGACTGAGCCACCCAGGAGCCCCTCTACCTGGACACTCTTATAGTCCCTTCCCATTCTGAGATGCTAGGACCCCACTTGCTCACTTCAGATGGCCTCATTCCCTAGGAGAACACGCCTCTCCTGACCACCTCCCCCCCCCCCTTTTTACTTTAGTAGAGATGACACATAATGCCACATTAGTTTCAGGTGTACAACACAGTGATTGAACAACTGTATACACACGCACGCCATGCTCACCGTAAGCATAGCTACCATCTGTCACCATACGGCACTGTTACAATACGCTATGTTCCCTATGTCGTGCCTTTCATCCCTGTTGACTTGTACAATCCATAACTGAAAGCTGGTACCTCCCACTGCCCTCCCACCCATGTCACCCGTTCCCCCCCAACCGCCCTCCCCTCTGGCCGCCATCAGTTTCTTCTCTATATTAACCTCTCGACCCTCTCTTCACACCCAACCTCCCTATTTACTGTTTGTTTGTTGCTTCCCTCACTCCCACTTTTCCCCCTTCAATTTTTTTTTAAGTTTCTCACTTTTAATCTCTTTTTCTTTTCGCTGTTCCTTAGATCTTGACACATCTCCTTTCCTAATAATCTCAAAGAACCGAGTACATATTTCAGTACCCAAGGTAATTAATAACTGTCATGTATCCTATTAAATCCCTTGATGTGTTACTTTAGAAAAAAACTGGAAAAGTGTATTTGAGTCGTGGCCTTGGACATTTTTCTCCTGCCAGTCTGTGGCTGTTAAATATTTAAAACAGCTCTCTGACTTTCTTTTCAGCCGGATCCTATATTCAGTCCTATGAAGACACGAAAAGACTGATCAGCTCAAGAAATCACTGACCCAATCAAACACGCGAAGTCTGTGCGGGGAAATCACTGACCTATACATACTCGAGCACCCACTTCCAGCACGTACTTCCTCCAGGTCAACCCCATGGGTATCCAGCTTGCACGGTGATCACTGTATTAACATGGCTGCAACCCGTAGGGCCTGATCATACCACTGCGTGCCCTCCCTGCCAACAGAAGCCTGATCACGTGCATCCCAGCAGGTGCCTCACGGCCAGTCAAGGCAAACCCAATTCTCTCCAACACATACTCACTTCCTCAGCCTCCCTTGCAGGGAGACATAAAAGAAATTCTTCCAGGAAAGACTTTTTTCTCCCTGATAAAAACAAAAAAAAAAGCATGCAAAGATAGTTTATCCTCTTACCACTCACCCTCACACTATATGCCTATGATGTGGTTACGTGAAGATGTGATGTCCGGGGCTGCAGCAGCCTCATTACAACTGGGAGGAGCCAGAACATTGCAGAACTGCTGACCCAAAGCTGAATACACCTTGGGACCCGCTACTCCAGACATCTTGTGAAGTAATATACAGTAAGTGCCTTTTTGCTGAAGTCGCAATTAATTAGTGTGTTAACTATGTCTTCTATTTGTTGTATTCTGAGGCTTTGACATCTGGTGTCTTGCTGACCCTGGGGGGACCGCCTCTGCCAGGGTTAGCCAATACCTGGAGACAGTCAACAATTCACGCATGAGCGTGCCTGTCAAATGAAAACCAACCAATCCACAGCCTAGCCTACACCCCAACTACCTCTTTTATGGTGCTCTCATTCTCCAGGCCACTTCCACCTGCCTTAACCCACTCAGGGCCAGGTACCAGACAACTAGGGATGAGAGCCTGCTGAAGTTTCTCAAACAAGCCCATCCTAAGCCTGTTTATCCTGCTTCATCCATTTCTCCCAGGGGAAAGCACAATCATGTCTCTTGCCCACATTTTCCTCCTTCTATCCTGAGTAACTCTGGTGCTTCCCCGTATGGCCCTGCATGACACAGGGTGCACCCCCCATCAAATTTACGTTTTTAATGCCAGTGATCCCCTGACCTGTTGGCCTCACCAGATCTTAAATTTTCTATTAATACCCCATCTTTTAGAATATGTAGGGAGCCAAATGCCTCCTAACTGATATAGTTTGCAAGACCCTCAATTCAATTCAAACCCGACACATCTAGGCAATTTTACCTCATCCCAGAAAAAATAACGCTAGTAGTAATCAACCTGACAACACCAAAGGCCAGTTTCAACCCTCTAGAGATAATGTTCAGTTGCTAATCCTGATCCTATTCTGTATTATAGACCAGTTATTTTAAAAACAGCCCTTCTTAGAACAGATGAAAGGAAGTGGGTCATGGCCAGACCTGGCGGCAGGCCCCTACTCAAAACATCTATCTCCTGGAGTCCCACCTTAGATGTTTGTTTAATGAATGGGTCTCACGTCCAAAGCAATTTTCCAGACTCTCCCTTTAGACTGTTCAGGTTCCCTTTGCTGAAATTCCCGATATACACAGAATTACTTCCATAGACATTTTCCAAACCCGTGAACGTTTCATTTCTACCACACATTAAGAGATTCCTGCTGGGAATATTAAGAAAGAAGACACCATTCGTCTGCTGAAGGGCATCCCGGCTCCTTTAACAGACAAATGGATAAAGAAGATGTGGTCCATATACACAATGGAATATTACTCAGCCATCAGAAAAGATGAATACCCACCATTTGCACCAACATGGATGGAACTGGAGGGGATTATGCTAAGTGAAATAAGTCAAGCAGAGAAAGTCAATTATCATATGGTTTCACTTATTTGTGGAACATAAGGAATAGCATGGAGGACATTAGAAGAAGGAAGGGAAAAATGAAGGGGGGGACATCAGAGGGGGAGACAAACCATGAGAAACTATGGACTCTGAGAAACAAACAGTGTTTCAGAGGGGAAGGGGGTGGGTGGATGGGTGAGCCCAGTGATGGGTATTAAGGAGGGCACGTACTGCAATGAGCACTGGGTGTTAAGCACAAACAATGAATCATGGAACATGCATCAAAAACTAATGATGTATTGTATGGTGACTAACATAACGTAATAAAAATAAATAAAAAAGTTAAAATGGATACTCAAAAAAAGAGAGAAGAAGACACCAGGGCTAGGAAGAAGACAGAACGATGGACAGGGTAGGCAGAGTGGCGTCTTGTAGTGCAGCGTGGGACTGGGAAGAAGCGTCAGGACACATCATGTGACCGTCACTAGAAAGGAGGCCACGGGAGCTGGGGAGGGGGTGGGGGACGGCTCAGAGAGACCACTGGGAAGCAGATGTCAACAGTAACTCCAGGTCAGAGACAATCAGACACCAAACATGTCGACTCTAAACTCAAGGAGGATTAAAACGTCCCAGATTGCAGATCCCTTGTCATAAAGCCAAAGGAACATCTAGGAAAATATTTTAAGTGTTGGTGGAGTTGGGGGCGGGGCAGAAGGTCAGGAGGGAAAGTGAGCCAGCGATGATGTTTACAGCAAGAACTGCTCAACAGAATCACAATACACACCGCCCGTGAGTACTGATAGAGGTTACACACAAAGACGTCAGGATACCATCATTTGGCTCTCTCTTTTTTTTTTTTTTAAGATTTTATTTATTTATTTGACAGAGAGAGAGATAGCTAGAGCAGGAACACAAGCAGGGGGAGTGGGAGAGGGAGAGGCAGGCTTCCTGCTGAGCAGGGAGCCCGATGTGGGACTCGATCCCAGGACTCCAGGATCATGACCTGAGCCGAAGGCAGACGCTTAACGACTGAGCCACCCAGGCGCCCCATTTGGCTCTCTTTAACTGTTTCATTATAGGGGAAATCCTTTTCCCAGGGTCTTTATAGGTCACCTGTCACCTCCAAAACCACAGTGTAATTTTTTCCGGGAGATCTTACGGTACTATGGAGGCACATGAAATGGAATCTATGAGCGAGCTGAAGCAGAGACAAGACCCAGGTTTAAGCTTCCCTAACGGTGGACTCCCAAGCACACCCTGGTTTGCCCCAGTGCAGGAAAAACAGAGAGAGGGACCGTGTGCTTCCTGCTCAGGGTGGGGGGTGCTTCAGGCAGGTTAAAGGGCAGGAAGATGTGTGAAGGGGCTGGCACACCACAGAAACACCACCTGACAGCTCGCAGACACAGAAATGGCCGGAGAGATGACATAGCCACACCAAACGAGGCCCCGGGAGTGGGTGCCCTGTCCTCCAGGGGTGAAGCTGTCGGCGGGGCAGTGGGTAGGAAGGCACTTACAGAACGTTTGTCAGCCTCTGCCCCTTGCTGGCCCTGGAGACATGCAGTGAGCTTCTTGTGCGTGCTGTGGGAAACTTGCTTCACCAGTTCTAGGCGCTTCTCCACCTGCAGACAGAGCAGTGGGGGGTCGCGTCACCGCACGAGGGCAAGGTCAGGAGAAGTGGGGCCATCGATCGGGACGATCGTGGGAGGCGAGTCTGGCCCGTGCTCTGCAGAGACCAGCATTGCTGGGGAGACAGCACCCAATGCTGGAGAACTGGAGGGGGGCGGGCAATGGCAGAGTCAGGGGCTCTCTGTGAACCCCACAGTCAAATGACTGCCATGTCTCCTGAAAACTCTTATGTGAACTGGTATTTAAAGACGGTAAAGGAGGAAAGGTTGCGTCTACAGAGATTGCACCAAGAGCGGTCCGAGCAGCTGAAACAGCTCAAGTTGTAATGGGAAGACATATTTGGTGTCCGTATATAAGGGCTGGTGACGACCTTACCTGAAGAAGGTCTTCGCTCAGAACTTCAGTCTTTTCTGCCCTAAAGAGAAAATTGAGAAACACGTCAGTAAAAAAAATTAGGAACAGAGTCTCATTCTTATTCCCCACTCTCTCTGTTCATGGCGAGACTAGAAAAACAGACATGAGCAGCAGAGATGTCTAATAAGAGAAAAAGTCCTGGGATTGACTGGGAACTGTAAATCCTCCGGCAAACAAGATCCTCTGCAGACTCTTCTGCTACAGACTGGAACCTGGATGAAGGACAGCAAACACGTTTCTTTCTTTCCAGACATTCTTTTTTTACATAACAGAATTAAGTATGTTCCCCAAACCATACCGCATGGCCTCCCCCAAATAAGTAAGTAAAAGAAACAGAAATCTGAGCAGGGATCAATAAACAGCAAAGAAGAAGAAAACACTGAGTTCTGGTGACAAATGCAAATGCCACCACGGAGATATGCCAACCGAGTGTTAGGCGCCCCCACCAGAAAGTGGGGGGGGCTTGAACCTGAGATGAACACATTCCAAGAAAGAACTTGGACACGGGCTGGAGGGGCCCCAACCAATTAGCAACCCCTGCGTCACATCCGGGGAGAATGAGGATCTTCTTTGGAGCAAAGCATTCTCAATTTCTTGTCTGGAGAATCTCAGAGATAAGGTTCAGTCAACGATTTCTCTCGCATAGGTGTGTTCTCTGTGTCTCTGGGAGTCTCTCCTTCTCACGCTCACACATCCAAAGCGCAAATTCCTCTGAAAACAAACTGTCAACACTAAAGGTACAGAGAAAGAAGAAACAACATACGGAGAGCCTGGAGAACGTCAATGACCAGAGTTATCAAAGACTGTGACATATGTATGAAATATTGAAGAACAAATGATACATTGAAGTAACCACCAGACCCGATGAATGGCATGGTGTGGTGGGGATTTCTGCTTCATATATTCCACACGTGGAGCTTCAGAAGCTGTGAACCGAAATACCATTGAGGACAGCCAAAACAAGCCCAACAAAAGCCAGGTCTCTGTAGCCGAAGGATCAGAAACAAGCAACTTGGCAAGATAGGAAATGTTTATAGACAATAATTGCTCACTCGAGCCAAATGCTACAGGAAAAACAAACAAACAAAAAACAAAAAACTGTTGTCCTACCCCACCCATACCAGCAAATGCTGGGAAGGGAGCCTAGCCTTCCACACTTGCCAGGCTATATATAACAAGGCACTCAACCCTCCCCACCTCCTCCTGGCCAGTGTAGCATCAGAAACATCTGAGTATGGAGCTGGGACATTTGTCACTGCTGGGCCGTAACAGTGGAAACCGTACAAGCCATCCACACATCTACCCTCACCTGGTGGTGACAAAACATCCCTCTCCCTCCCTGCAGAGGTGGTGTAACAGTAGGCACAGGAGGGAGTCAGGACTCTCACCACCATCCAGTAATAACAAACCATCCTTTGCCAGGGCATCAATGCAAGCCAAATGGATAGCCATAACAAACCACTCCCACCCCTCCCAGTTAGGGAGGTATCTGTGAAGGTCCAATGGGGAGTCAGAATTCCCACTCCCACCCAGCAGTCATGAGCAGCGCCACCCCCTTGGGGGAGCCAGTGAAGGCCAAGAGGCGAACCCAGACTTCTGTTTCCACCTGGCAGTAACAAAGCAGAATTCTTCCTTCCCTGCTGGAATGATATCACAGAAAATCAGCTAAAAGAGAAAGTTTAAATAAAACCCAGAATTTCATAATATAATACGATACTCAAGTTTCAATTAAAAATTAGTTATCATATCAAGAATCAGAAAGATTTCAAATTGAATGAAGACAATCAATAAATGCCAACAGCAGAATAACAAAGATGTTTGAATTATCTGACAAAGACTTTAAAGCATTCACTGTGAAAATGCTTTGATGAACATTTATGAACATGCTTGAAACAAAACAAGAACAAAAACAAAAAACAAAGTCTCAGAACAGAAGATTAAAAAAGAACAAAATGGGGGTGCCTGGGTGGCTCAGTCAGTTAAGTGTCTGCCTTTGGCTCAGGTCATGATCCCAGGGTTCTTCTCAGCAAGGAGCCTGCTTCTCCCTCTCTCTGCCTGCCACTCCCCCTGCTTGTGTGCACTCTCTCTCTCTTTCCCCCATCCCTCTCTGTTGAATAAATAAAAATCTTTAAAAAAAAAAAAAAAGAACAAAATGAAAATTTTAAAGTTGAAGAATGCAATAATCTAAATTGAAAAATCGTGGTCGACAGGTTCAACTCTAGAATGAAGGAAGCAGAAGAAAAATCAGTAAACTGGAAGAAAGCACAATAGAAATTTCCCAGTCTAAAAAACAGCAAAAATAGACCAAACGGACAAACAAAAACAAGGGACCTGTGGAATTATAACACAGGATTAAATATTTATGTCATCAGAGTCCCAGAAGAGGGAAAAGAAGGTAGGGATGAAAAAAATACTCAAAGGAATAATGGCTGAAAACTTCCCAAATTTGGTAAAAGCCATAATATTCAAGAAGCTGAGCAAACCCAAACAGGATAAACATAAAGAAGTCCTCACCAAGACTCAGTCAAATTTCTGAAACTAAAGACAAAGACTTGATGGCAGAGAGACAAAATTCATACCTTATTAACAGAGGGGAAACAATTCAAATTACAGAAGATTTCTGATGAGAAATTACAGAGGACAGAAGGAAGTGGCACACCATTTTTCAAATACTGAAAGAAAAGAACAGCTAACCTACAATCTATTCAATAAAATATCCTATAGGAATGAAAAAAAATCAAGATATTATCAGGTAAAGGAAAACAAACAAAATGTGTCATCAGTAGGCTTGCCTTAAAGAATTGCTAAAGAAGTTCTAAACAAAAAACAATCAAAAAGAAATGGTAAAAGAAACAACCTTGAAGTATCAGGAAGGAAAAAAAAAAATCCTGGTGATCAAAAATAGCAAATAAAATTGTCTTCTTTCTCCTCTTGAGCCTTCTAAATTGATGGTTAAAGCAAAATTTATAACACTGTGTATGTGGCTGGAATGTATGTAGAGGAAATACTTAATACAATTATAATTAGGAGAGTATAAAGGGACATAAAAAGAAGTAAAGTTTCTAGATTTTTATTCAAACTGGTTAAATAATGGTCCCAGTAGACTGTGATAAGCTATGTATACGTAATACCTATACCCACCACTAAAATAGCTACACAAGGATATACACTCAAAAATGCTACAGAGAAATAAAAATGTAATCTAACCCAGAAGGGAAGAAAAAGAAAACAAAATAATGAAAAACAGATATAAAACCAAAAATGAAATGAACTTAAGCCTTAAGATAGCCAGACTTAGGTTAAATGTAAATGGCCTAGATATGCTAATTAAAAGACAGAGATTGGCAGAGTGGGTTAAAAAATATGTTGTCTAGGGCCACCTGAGTGGCTCAGTCAGTTAAGCATCTGCCTTCGGCTCAGGTCATGATCCCAGGGTCCTAGAATGGAGCCCCGCACTGGGCTCCCTGCTCCGCGGGAAGCCTAATTCTCCCTCTCCCTCTGCCCCTCCCCCGACTCATACTTTTTCTCTCTCTCAATAAAACGTTTAAAAAAAATATGTTGTCGACAAAAACCTCACTTCAAATATAATTATATAAGTAGATCGAAAGTAAAATTGTAGAAAAATATACCACATAAACATTAGTCAGAAGCAAGCAGGAGTGACTATATGAACATATAAAGTAGATTTCAATACAGAGAAGGGGTGCCTCTCTGTCAAATAAATTTTTTAAAAAAGGAATAGACAGTTTTTAACAAGATTTATTTATTTGACAGAGTCTCTTTCTCTGAGAGAAAAGAGAAAGAGAGCACAAACAGGGGGAGCGGCAGAGGGAGAGGAAGAAGCAGGCTCCCTACTGAGCAGGTAGCACAACATGGGGCTTGATGCCAGGTCCCTGAGATCACGACCTGAGCCAAAGGCAGACGCTTAACCAACTGAGCCACCCAGGCACCTCAGGAATAAACAATTTAAATAATCCTATAATAGTAGGAAATTGAATTTGTACTATTAAGTAACCCCCCACAAAAAATCTTCAGGTCCAGAAGGCTTCACAAAATAATTCTACCAAATGTTTAAAAAAGAATTAACACCACTTCTACCCAATCTCTTCCAGAATACAGAAGAGGAAGAATACTTCCCAATTCATTTTATGAAGGGAGTATTCTTTTGATACCAAAACCAAAGAACAGTTAAAAAAAAAAGATAACTATAGACTAATATTCCTCGTGAATATAGGTGTACGAATCCTTAACAAAACATTACCAAATAGGGCGCCTGGGTGGCTTAGTCGGTTAAGTGACTGCCTTCGGCTCAGGTTGTGATCCTGGAGTCCCGAGATCGAGTCTTACATCAGGCTCCCTGCTCGGCGGGGAGTCTGCTTCTCCCTCTGACCCTCCCACCTCTCGCGCTCTCTCATGCTCTCTCTCTCAAATAAATAAAATCTTTAAAAAAAAATTACCAAATAGAATTCAGTAATATATAAAAATAATTATTCACCATTATCAAGTTGGGTTTGTTCCAGGGATAGTATTCCAGGGATCTGAAAATCAATCAGTGTAATCCATCATATTAAATACAGACTGAAGAAGAAAAACCTGATCACATCAAGTGACATAGAAAAAAGCATCTGACAATGCAATTCAATTCAAAACCCATTCTTGGTGAACACTTTCAGAAAGCTGGAAATAGTAGGGGACTTCCTCAACTTAAATAACATCTGCAAAACAAAACAAGACACAAAATCAACAAAAAAATCCTACAGTTAACATTATACTTAATGGTGAAAGATTAGTGTTTTGCTCCCTAAGACAGAGATCAAGGCAAGTACGTTTGACCTTGACACTCATCCGACATGGTGCCACAAGTCTGAGTCAGTGCAATAAGACAAGAAAAGTAAACAAAAAGGAAACAGATCTGGAAGGAACAAATTTAAATGTCCCTATTTACAGATGACATTATTGTCCATGTAGAAAATGCCAAAAAATCTACAGGGAAAAAATACC